GGGGGCACAGAACATCTGGAGGGGCACAGAGCATCCAGGGGGCACGGAACATCTGGGGGAGCGCAGAACATCTGGGGAGCACAGAACATCTGGGGGCACCGAACATCTGGAGGGGCACAGAACATCCAAGGAGCACAGATCATCCAGAGGGCACAGAATATCCAGAGGGGCACAGAACATCTGGAGGGGCACAGAACATCTGGGAGGCATCGGACATCTGGGGAGCACAGAACATCTGTGGGGCAAAGAACATCCAGAGGGGCACAGAACATCTGGAGGGGCACAGAACATCCAGGGGGGCACAGAACATCTGGAGGGGCACAGAGCATCCAGGGGGGCATAGAACATCTGGGGGCACAGAACATCTGGGGACCAGAGGGCAGTCAGGGGACATAGAACATCTGGAGTGGCACAGAACATCTGGGGGGGGTGCAGAACATCTGGAGGGGCACAGAACATCCACGGAGCACAGATCATCCAGAGGGGCACAGAACATCTGGAGGGACACAAAACATCCGGGGGGGCACAGAACATCTGGGGGCACCGAACATCTGGAGGGACACAGAGCATCCAGGGTGGGCACAGAACATCTGGAGGGGCACAGAGCATCCAGGGGAGCACAGAACATCTGGAGGGGTACAGAACATCCAGAGGGACACAGAGCATCCAGGGTGGGCACAGAACATCAGGGGGGGCACAGAACATCCAGGGATACCCATAGGGCTGATCCTCCGTGCCCCACAGCTGCCCCGACGGCAAGATCGCCCCGAGCTGCCTGACCTGTGACAACTACTGCCTGCACGGTGGCACCTGCTCCATCAGCGACAAGACACAGCTCCCTGAATGCCTGTAAGAGAGGAGGGAAGCTCTTGGTGGGCACGGGAGGGGGGGACAGGCGGGCTGATTGCCCCCCAAAACATCACTGACATTCCCCGATCTGTGTGTGTGTCCCCTCCCCACCTGACTGACCCCARGTGTGTGCCCACCTTGTCCATCCCTCCCTCCCCGCATGGCCCTGCCCCGCTAATCCCGGCTCTCCCTGCCACCCCAGGTGTCCCGCGGGGATGACGGGCGCCCGCTGCGAGGATTTTGTCGTGGGAGAGCAGCAGAGCAGCCGTGAGTTGGGGGGTGAAGTGGGGGATCCACTCCCTGATGTGATTTGGGGGGTGTTGGGGGTGAGCCAGGGCTGTCTGGTGTCCCTGTGAGGATCCTAAACCCGTTTTGGGGTGGAGGGGGGACAGGGACTCACAAATTTGTGGCCTCAGAGTGGATGGACCCACAAATTTGTGGCAGAGGGGGGGACAGGGATGCAAAAAATTTGTGGCAGAAGGGGGACAGGGACTTAAAAATTTGTGTTGGAGTGGGGAGAGAGACAAATTTGTGGAAGAAGGGGGACAGGGACACAAAAAAATTGTGGCAGAGAGGGGACAGGGACCCACAAATTTGTGGCCTTGGGGAGAGAGGAACCCATAATTTTGTGATGGAGGGGGGACAGGGACACAAAAAATTTGTAGCAGAGAGGGGACAGGGACACAAATTTGTGGCAGAAGGTGGACAGGGACACAAAAAATTTATGGTGGTAGAGAGGGGACAGGGACACAAAAAATTTGTGGTAGAAGGGGGGAGAGGGTCCTGCAGATCTGTGGCCTTGGGGGGACAGGGACCCAAAAAATTTTTGGGGGAGGGGAGAAGTGACCCATAAATTTATGGAGGAGGGAGGACAGGGACACAAAAAATTTGTGATGGACAGGGACCCACAAATTTATGGAGGAGGGGGGACAAGGACACAAAAAATTTTTGGGGGAGGAGGAACCCACAAATTTATGGAGGAGGGGGGACAGGGACACAAAAAATTTGTGGCCTTGGGGGGACAGGGACCTAAAAAATTTTTGGAGGAGGGGAGAAATGACCCATAAATTTATGGAGGAGTGGGGACAGGGACACAAAAAATTTATGGTGGTAGAGAGGGGACAGGGACACAAAAAATTTGTGGTATAGGGGGGACAGGGACTCACAAATTTGTGGCCTTGGAGGGACAGGGACCCAAAAAATTTTTGGGGGAGGGGAGAAGTGACCCATAAATTTATGGAGGAGGGG